GTAGAAAGTAGTCAAAAAATATATATACCGGCCCGGAATTTTGCAAGTATGTTTTTTTCATCAAATACTCATTCTTTGGACTACAAAAATGATTTGATTTTCAAACTTTTCTGAAAAAAACTACTGTTTCCAATCGTGCTGTTAGAGTTTGAACAGAACAGATTATTACTGCTCGTGTGTTTGTCTTAAAAGTTCACTAATATAAAGCTTGAAGATTTTGGATTTTAATTGATGGAAATCATTAAATCTCGGAACTTTTGAACCTTTAAGGTAGTGTCTTCTTTAATAGCCCGCGGTATGTCCGGGGTATCAGGTTCCTGTCATAAAATAGAAGAAAATCAACAAGAAATGTAACAAAATCAGTTTATTATGAACAAGTTAGAAAGAAACAACAAATAAAAGCTTAGAATTCAAGCAAACTCACTTGAAATCCTTAAAAGAGTCCCTAGAACAACCACGAGCCAAATCCAAGCTCGCAATCTTTCAAAAACTAAATTTAAACTGTGCGCGCGCCGAGCGGGATAGCGGAGTGTCGTTGCGTGGGTTGAGGGAACCTTTAGAAGGAGTTGGAGGGTAGATGCACGAGGCAACTCTTTGCCAGTTATGTATAGAAATCATTTTAGAAAACACATTTCTTACTGTTTCGTACACAAATCACCATGGTTTTGTCCCCATGTATTTGTCCCCATTGTCTTTAAATTCTTAGTTTCAGAAGTTGTATTTATTATTATATGGAACTTTTTGAGACTTGAACATCTCTCTCTCTCTTACTGTTTCATAGCAAAGTTTTTCATACGGAAAATATGTGTGATTTGTTCAAACTCATTTTCCTTTAGCAAACACTCATACTTTCGATTACAAAATTTGATTCCTTGTTCGATAATTATTTTGCCAAAAATTACCGTTTTCAATTTTGCTCTTATTATAAGGTGCTGAGCAACAAAAATTCATATTCCATTGTTTTACTTTCTCAAAACATTCACTATTATCGGTTTGCCATTTTCGGGCATGTATTGATGGAAGTTACCCAAGTTCGAAAATTTTCCAAAACCATCAAAATGTTTTTTTTTTCGGGAATTTTCCAGATTTTTTTCACCGATTCAACTTTTGGCAATTATGTCTGATGATCATTAAAAAACATAAATTCTCAACTGTTCCGTATAAAAATCATTATGGCATTATTCATTTATTCGTCTCCGTTGCCTTTTGCTTCTCTTTCTCAAAACATTTACCGTTTCAGAATAGTTGTATATTGTTATACACTGGAGCTTTTTTGCTTTGTGTATTGTTGCGTTGTCCTTGTATGTATTTCGAGCATCAAAGATTCGAAACGGATATGTTTCGAAGAACCGAAAATTTAGAAGAAAATTTGAGTTTATGCTGCATAGACTATGCAAATAACTTTATTCGTAAATGGGGCATTGTGATCTTTTTAAAGACCATGTTCAAAGTTGAGCATGTTGTAAAAAAAAATATATATATATATATTCTCGTACATTATTTTAGAAAGCGATATAAAAGTCATCTTCCTTTTTAAGATCAAATCAAAAATATTCGGAACAGTAAAAATTTGTTTTCAAGGTAGATCTGTCTTCTCTGTTAAAAGCTATTGTGTTACTAACTGTGTACCTTTTTTCCGGTTTCATAGAACTCTTAAAGGGGGACTCCGAAAAAATTTTTATTGCATTAAAATGTGTTAAAAGTTATCTATTTTCCGAATATTATTGCGAAAAATTTTTTTAAAAATCCGAAATCCCCGAAAAACGGCGTTGAAAAGGAAGAAAATTCAAAAAAAGGTGCCGCCGGGGAACGAGGATTTTCAGTGAGAAACCTAGGCCACGGCACCTGACAGCCTTTTTTTTAAAGTCGCCGACAGTGGTTTTTTACGTTTTTTACCTGCCGGACATGAAATTTAAAAAAATCCGGAAAATTTGCCACGTAGGAAAGGCGCCCGCTGCCGTGGCCTAGGTTTCTCACACAAACAATTTCGACCATACTTGTAATCTTTGCCGGGCCTTCACGGGCCCTGCCATAATTTCTTTCAGAATCTGTATTTTCGAACCAACTAAATCAGATATGATAGAGCTCCACGAGTACTACAAAACGGTATTATTTGGAATACTGTATCTTATCTATGAACAAAGTTACAGATCATAAAGTGGCTTTTCTCGCAGGGCCCGGCAGGCCCGGGCCGGGCCTGCTTTTTTTGTTCCTTTTGCTCTGTAACTCTGTTCATAGACAAGATACAGTATTCCAAATAATACCGTTTTGTAGTACTCGTGGAGCTCTATCATATCTGATTTAGTTGGTTCGAAAATACAGATTCTGCAAGAAATTATGGCAGGGCCCGTGAAGGCCCGGCAAAGGCCCGGATTACAAGTATGATTTCGACAGATTATTCAGAGAATTGTGCTCGCTAGAATTGTGTTACCAACTGCGAGTAAAGCGCTATATCTTGGCTGCTCCAATCCATATAACAGAAAATACCAGAGTACAATAATATACGACTTTTCTGAAATGGTGAATTTTTTTTTCGATAAAAGGGAAAGGAGAAAAACGAAGAAACATACATGAAAACCACAACAAATTGTTTATGAAACTGTCGGATACTTTATGTGGTGGTACCAGGGATGAGAACTCTGAAAATGAGANCTGCTACAAATGAGAACTCGCAAATGAGAACTCGTTTTCCGGATCTAATTCGTAGTTCTTTTTTTTAGAAAAATAGTTTCGAAATGGCCTCGTTCTTCACAATAATTCAAGATTTTCCAAAAAAAAAAATCCGGTTTTGACCTATATTTTACGAGTTATTATTCGTGCGAGTTCTTATTTGTAGCAGTTTTCATTTTCCGAGTTCTCATCCCTGGTACCAGCCTTTATGTTTTTTTCTAAAATGAGGATCCAATATATACTTTACTGTTTCATAACATGCTTAAGATAAAATAATACCGACAAGGTGTTCATTGCAAGACTCTGAACCGTGAGCACTGCGCCAAAAATATCAGGAAGGACTTTTTCGAGAGAAAGGGAATGCGGAACGAATCGATGATCCGGACATCTCTAATTCATTGATACTCTCCACATTATCCTAACACCACCTACAATATCCATTCAAATCCTCTCCTCCTTCTTCCATTGTATCTCCAACTGCGCTAAGGTGTTAATGCTCTCTCTGCTGAGACATCCAGCTGAGCTCTCCATGGTCCATCCGTTTCCCTCAAGACACCGCCCGTTTCCTTCCGTTGTCAAACATACCAGCCAAAAAAATAATAGTAACAGTACTATGTGTTGGCGTTAAAGTCAATAATGTTCCCATGAGAAAGGATTAGAAGGGAGGAAAAGAGAGGGAAAAAAGGATGTGCAGGGATTAGTACTGTAGCTATGGGGTACTGTAGAAAGTTTGAGTTAAGGGATTAGAGATTTGGGGAAAATTGAAAAGGAAAAAATTCGTAAAAATTTTCTCTGTTTCATCCATATCATATTTCTGAAAATGTTCAGTATGTTCAGTGTTTTATGGTCTTTCAGTGGTCTGCTAATTCTCAAAAATTTACAATTTTCAATAAATTCTTTTGCGATTTTTTGAACTTCTTCAAAATTTAATAGTCTCTTTAAAAACTGTTAGAGAATAATCCTACAAAACCGTGCCCAAAAATCGTCAAATCTTCAAATTTCACACCTTCTCCACCTCGCTCTCGAAATAATTGTTTCGACAAAATGCGATAAGTGTGCTCATCTAGATGATCTTGAACCCCTAGAAGTTGTATAAACACTAAAAGATGAGCAATGTGTGGCAAAACAATGAATCGAGTGCTCTGTGACACGATTACGCAATTCGCACCCTTTTGACTCATGAAAAGGTCGTTATGAGCAAGGTGAGTGACAATATTGTAGCAAAAAAAAGGGGGGGACTAGAGTTCCAGATTATTCATCAACCTAAATGAAAAAACATATAAAAAAAGGACATTATAAGAATCCTGAGAAATGTAGATAAGGTGATATACACGTGATGCAAAGGCAAGGAAGTAGATAAGCCTTCTGACCAGGGATGTTCGGAATGGAATTTTGAAAATTTCGAAAAAATTGGAATTTTTCGAGATTTTTTCGGAATCAAATTCCGACCGGAATTTTTCAGAAGTTTATTTTTTCGGAACTGGAGCTTTTTGGACTACGGTACGTCGCGAAAAATTGCTTGCGGACAGAATTACATCCAATTTTTTAGTGTTTTTTTAATTTTTTAAAGTCAATTTTTAAACTGTTTTTGGCGTTGTAGTGATGGAAAAAGGGAATTTCTACTTAAAAATTTGGACTTGAAAAATTCCGAAATTCCAAATTTCAAAATCGGAATATTTTGAAAATCCAAAAATCCAAATTTTAGAAAATCTGAAAATTCAACGATTCCGAATTTTTTTAAATCCAGAATTCCGAGATCCGAAAAATCTGATTTTTTTAAAAATCAGAATTTTCGACATTCCAAAAAATTCGAATTTTTAAAAATTGGAAAATTCCATGATTCAAAAACATCCGAATTTTCAAAAATTGGAAAATTCCGAGATTCCACAAATTCGAAAATTTCAAAATCGGAAATTCCGAGATTCCAAAAATCCGCAATTTCAAAAATACGAAATTTAAAAAAAATCCGAAAATTCTACAAATCGGGAAATCCCGACATTCCAAAAATTTCGAAATTAAAAAAATCGGAAAATTCCAAGATTCCGAAAATCCTAATTTTAAAAAAACGGAAAATTCTAAGAACCCGAAAATCGGAATTTTTAGAAATCAAAAAATTTCGAGATTCCAAGGATCCGATTTTTAAAAATCGGAAAATTCCGAGATTCCAAAAATCTGAATTTTTAAAAAGCGAAAAATTCTAAGATTTCAAAAATCCGAATTTTCGCCATTCTGAAAAATTCCGAAAACGCCATTTCCGAACATTCCTGCTTCTGACTCCAATAAAAAAAAACAAGAAATTACAGTAGGTACAAGAAAACACAGAAAATCAATCAATTAATCGGTGCAGTATGAGCGACTGGTCTTGGCGGCATGATGACTGGCGGCTCGTCATGCTCACTTCGGATATGATTGAGCAGAGAATTCATATCCAAGAATCTAGATCCACATAGCTTGCAGTTCAAGTCGGATGGTCCTGGCGCGGCAGCCATATTGGGCATTCCAAGGTTTCGATCGACAGAAACAGCGGGAATTTGGTTTCTCGACATTAACTGAAAATAATTATTTAGGGTTACTGTAGCTTCCTTCAACTGTATTACCTGTGCCGTCTCATGATCTTCCGAATAGAAATGCGCATCGCTCGCCCGCTTAGTCAACAAATCCACCTCACAAATCTCACATCTTCTGATGAAACTCGAGACTCCAGACGTCGTTTTGTTGTGTGCAAAGATCGCAAACAACTGATCAATATCCATATATTGAAAGTCTTCTCCAACGGCAACACGATATTTGTAGACGTCGTCGTGGCGAATCGCCTGTATCATTTCCAACATTTTGACTGTGTTCAGACTGAGACGCATGTCGCCGTGAAGGACAATCGTGAGATTCGTGGATTCCTGGAGTTGATGGATTCGGACTTCGCTCACTGTGTCGACCTGGAAGTATGCTTTTTTGTGAATTATTGTGAATTTCTGAAATCTTACCGTGTCCCTGACAGTTCCCTCTTGAGGCCTTGCCTTCTGCACAATCACAACATACTGTAGAGGAGTGATTGGTTTGGTTATGATATAGATGCTCGAGTCACCAGAAGTCGCCTGAAATTCATAAAATTCGAATAATGCAAACTCAAAATATTAGGTCGTGACCTAGAAATCTAAAAAATTAGGCCGTGACCTAGAAAATTCAAAAACATTCCCAAATTCAAAAAATTAGGTCACGACCTAGAAAGTCAAAAAATTTGGTCGCGGCCCAGAAAATTTTAAAAACTAGGTCATGGCCTAGAAAATGCCAAATTAAGTCATAGCCTAGAAAACTATGCCATGACCTAGAAAACTCAAAAAACTTAGGCAATGCTCTAAAAAATTCGATAATTAGGTCATGACCTAGAAAACTCAAAAAATTAAGACGTGGCCTATAAACTCCAAAATTAGGTCATAGCCTAGAAAATTCAAAAAATTTGGTCACGACCTAAAAGTTAGAAAAATAGGTCGTAACCTAGATAGCTTAAAAATTAGGTCATGACCTTGAAAATTTATGAAATAGGCCGTGACCTAGAAAAATGTTTAAAACTAGGTCATGACTAGAAATTGATTTTTTTTTCGTTATTTTTATATAAATCTATACGATTTTCTGCACAAAATCTTTCAATTAGGCATAAACAAACATTCCTTGTTTATATGTCTCTTTTCTGATCGTCCTACAGTAGGTCTTGCTACTAATTCGTCCACTCAAATCAACCGGTTAATCTCTCTAATCCCCTATCCTGACACCTTTTTCTTTCTAATAAGTGTGGTCCATTTTTTATAAGGGACTAGAAAAACCAAAAAAAAAACCGTACCACTTGATCCATCTCATCAATTGCCGCGAATGCCGAATTCTTAGACAGCCTCAGCTGCTGATCGGGTAGCGTTGAAATTTGAGTGATCGTCCGGTTCACATCATCTTGCGGAACATCGAATTGCGGCTGGAACGATGATGTGGCACGAGCTGAAGGATCCGGAAGAATCGGGCGGTTCGGACCGCCATATGCACATTTTTTCTCGTGGGTTTTCTGCATTGAAGTTGTTCTGAAAACTTGGGATTTTAGATTTCTGAAGGCTTTGGCCTCCACTTTCTTCCTTGTTTTTTGGCCATTTTAATATGGTGGCCTAACTTTTGAAAGTATGGTTTTCTAGGCCACCACCTATTTTTGGTCTAGAAATAACCTCACATGACCCTGGTGTGTTTCTAGGTCGTTTTAACGTGGTGGCCTAACTTTTGCAAGTTGGCATTTTCTAGGACACCACGTTAAAATTACCTAGAAAACATGCCAGGGTCATTTT